AACTAAGCTGCTGTAAATTTATAAGAAAAAATATTTCTCTGACTATTTCTGATAAGTAACCATTTTAGATGCAACAGTGGCATTTACTTTGGAGAAATTAGCCATGACAAATGAGAGCAAATTCAGGACATTGTAATGTTTGAGGTGCTGTCTTTTTATGTAGTTTGCTAAAACTAAAATTATATTTGTCCAAAAGTTATTAGAGTTGATGATAACCAAATGTAAACATTCACAACACAGGCTATAGTTTATGATGTTACTGAAGATTTAAGACAGTTGCTAGACTAAACCACAGCCATAAATCTCCTTTTAATTTTGATATCCTTTAAATTAAGTAGTCTAAAAGGTGAAGGTATAACTTAATTCAATAAAAAGGTGACTGCAAGGCTGAAAATTCTCTCTTTTTTTAGGAACGAATTTTGAGAAGCATCACAGGGACTGGTCTGAGCTTTGAGTAACAGTAAGTCAAATATACCATAGAGTAGGAAAGTTTGTATGATAGGCCAATAGATATGGATGTAGTTTTACTTCAGTGTTCTGAGCCTGTTCCTTCTCTTCTGAAATAAAGTACAGTAACAGTTTGTCTTTTTGCCTTTTTTATAGTTTTGTCTTGATTGTGAAAACGTGGTTGAATTTAGCTCAAGGTTAGTTAAAATTTGCTTGTCCTGCCTGAACTGAAATTTGACCTTTTTGTCTAGAGTTGATGTAGGTTGACAACTTGTATAAATACATCAATGTACAAATACATGGTCTTTTGCAGAAACCTTTGAGCTTTCCTTGAAGATATTCTGTGCTGGCTTGCTGGCTGCCATCCAGCTGTTAGCCAGCCATGGTGTGTTTTAGCCATACAGCACTGAACCCCCAAGTCCCTGCAACTGAGCAGGGTTTTATAGGTCAGGCTTGGCAGCGCGCTACTATTTTACAACTGATTCATGCTTGGTGCAAGTGTAGTACGCACAAACAATTGTTTGGTCACAAATATGTTGAAAACAATCCATATTATAGTCTGAATTTATGCAAAAATGTTATCCTGCAGCTGAATTTAGAGGAGAAAAAAATCACTTTTACAGTACAAACCAATGTATATTATTAGTAACGCCCAATCTAAAAGTGACAACTTACAGCTGACAAAAGTCCAAAGGAAACAGAATCAATCAGAGATCTGAACCTCAGGGGATCTGCTTGGTAATGGCGTATTGATGCTATGAGATTCTCACTTGGCTGTGTTTTATATGCTCTTTGCAGAGGTATCAATGATCATATAGCGTGTAAGATACTAGTCATCCAGGCTTTGAAATACAGTTCTCTTCCCTAAACTGCCTTCAAGTTTTTCAAAATCCTTTAGGTCTGTATCAATGTCCATTTTAGAGACTCTAAAAGCGACCTGCTCCATGAAAATGTTCTTGGCAGCGCTAACGCTACTGTGTAGTTGAATAAGAAGAAAACACTGTTCCAGAAGAATGTGCTTACAACAGGCACTGAAGAATCACCTGGACAACTTCTGGTTAATATTAAATGTAAACTTCAGATAATGGGAACTAAATTTCATTAGCAGTTTATAATTCATTGTATGTAAAATTATAGAAGTTTTCCTACCAAACAATACCGATAATTTATTTGCAAAAGAGAATGCGGCTCTACAAGTTTTACATTTGTGGGTTGGGATTAAAATAGATCAAGTTCTGGCAGGTTTTGCTTATTTTTATGAAATAAAACTCCTTTTTTTATACTAAGGGACAAACATAGATAATCTTCCCCCCTACTATCAATGTTAAAATCTGTAACAATCAGAGTCGCAGCAGTATTTAATTTCCAAACAAGCTGAAATTCTGTGGCAGATCTGGGATAGCAGTAGGGATGTAATCAGAGAAGAGAAATCTCTCTCTCCTCCTGTACTAGGCAGAAAGACAGGTATTTAACATGATAGCATATGACAGAACTTAAGCTATGTCACTAAGTATGCTAATCTGATATCTGTGTTGTACAATAAATAAAGTAGATACAGACAACATTTTTCTTTTATCTTTCATTTTCATAGTGTGGTTACAGATTTGTTTTCACAACACTTAGTGAGGATTGTATTTATAACTTTCACCATCATATTCCTTTTAAATGGCAAATCATTATACGGAGAAGAAAAAAAACAAACAAAAAAAAGCAATGTCGTCAGTGATTCAAAAAGTTACTGCTGGTTTATGCTCAGCATTGTCGTTTACTTATTCAAACAATTGTCTGTTTTGAAAACAGTCTTGAGAGTCTGTAGCAGTGCCTTGAAAAGGAAAAATCATCAGAGTAAGATTATGGCTGTTAACTTCATTAGTCCTTGACTGTGTGATAATTTGCTTTTAAAGTCTATGTCCATAACAATATAGTCTCCTGATGTATTTGAAAACGACAATAAGAGTTTAGCTTTCAAGTATTAGTGTATTGAAACCACCACATGAAAAACTATGAATCCCTGAGATTAAGTCATAATTTTAAAAGTTAGGAATGTTTTTATTAATATTGCCTATGCAAATTGCTTTGTTTCCAGGAAGCTCTTTAGGCTGGGAATCAAAACTCTGGTTCAAGCAATCATTCTTGTTTAGAAATGATGCAAAAGCTATTTTGGATAATTTGGTTATTCCTACCGAACTTGACCCTACATATACATGAATACAGGAAGTATCAAGGACAATAACATACACTTTTACATAGCTATTATGCTTTCTAGGGGAGGAAAAGTAAATCCCTTTCCTCACACCAATCAAATTTTTGCCCTTCAGTTTCTTAGAAACACAGCAGTTTAATCATGGCAAATGAAAAAGTATCTTCACTTGTGGTTGAAAGTAAGCCTGATTATTGTCTGATTCTAGTAGTCATTACAGGAAAACTGAGCATCCATTTTTAACTACAGTCATGGTTACTATTCAATATGCTATTTTCTTTAGATTTGAAGTATTATTTTTTTCCATTACTTTGAGTTTAATTATATCCAACCGTCTATTGATTATGGATTGGTTAACTGCACAAATATGAGGGCGGATATAAATCTAATTATACTTCAGAGAAAGTTTCTGATTTGCGAACAGGGTCATTTTAAATAATGCTAATGATACAGCTACAGTCGTGAGGCTGGATGTTGCAATAGATGAGTTTTTTAGTTCTTGTAAATGAGACATTAAAGGATGATAAAAAGCTCTCAGTCACTTTTCCTTAACTTTCATTCCCAGTAGCTACATTTCTTATAATACTGGTGTGCAAATATAGGCATGCTAATGTGTGCACAGAAATGAACACAGACCTCAGGCTGAAATCATGATGAAAATCAGAATATTCAAGTTTGTGGTTCAGGATTTATGAAAGATCTCTGCTTATGGCTACAACCTGGATAATTTTTTTTCTCCGAAGTTGCAACGAAAGTATGCATAAGGAAAAGCAAAATATACTAGTAATTAACAATTTTCTGCCTAAATCCATATTGTTAATCTTTTTTGAGAGGGGGGAAAAAAGAATCTATTCCTTATATATTACAGTTTTATAGCAATCTTCTCTCTTGTAATGTATGAATTATTAACAGAGATCCTCAGTCTAATATGGAAGCTGCCTAGGAAATCATTCCTTGGAATTAATCTTGGGGCAAGCTGCAAAACTAATGTTTCATGCTTTTTATGCTATGAGTAACATACTGTACTTCAGAGGTAAAAGCAATTGATTTCCAGCTTAACTGTTCAATTAAAACTTCTCTGATTCTCATGAGTGGGAGCAGGGTAATTCTAATTATAGATCAGCAAATTGTACTCCTTCCCAAAGATATTAAGTGGCAGACAGGCCATTTTTACAAATGCCCATTACATTAGAAAGAAATCTAGTAAAGATTAGTATTATGCAAAAATTTGCAGTTTCTAGAATGAAGAAACCGTTCAGCTTGGAATATAACGCACATTATCTATATAAAAGCAGTTCCTGTATGTACTGTAGAAGTATGAAAACACTGTCCTAGATCAATAAGAAAAATGGAAACCAATAGCTTCTTTTTGAAAATAGAAGGAATCTTTGCCTAAAAGTATAACCATGAACTCTTGCCCTCTTATTGAAACCACGGAAAGTCCTCTTCTGAAATACACCATTAATGAATGGTATATATATTTTAAATGAAAAGGACTTTGTGTTTCGGTATTTTTGGTGCACTACACCAAAATTCTAGAGCAGGAAAAAGTGGCTTCAGTGTTGCTGATGTCCAGATTCAAAGTACACCTAATATCATATCCTTGCATGTTCTCTGCCTTGGTTTGCTTTTGGGAAAGTATAAAAATTTTCAATTTTGATAAGCAGGCATAAAAAATGAT